AAATATATAAACTATGTTACATGCGTTATATGCGTCTCTAATTATTTTTCCCTAGCAAATTTCAATTGAACCTAAAGCCGCCACGTCAGTTTAATTGATATGCTAATTGATTGACAACTAAGCAAGGTTACTTTTTAATTAATACAAACTTGAGGTTACATCTTTTCAAATGTTTCTCAATTAATATATAGGGGATTAAAGCTAGGTAAAATATCTGTAAATTTTGATTTGATTTTTTATTTATTTTAATTCAAACCGAAAATGTGGATATTTTAAACTTTACGGAACAAAAATATACTAATATGTAATATCCGTAACAAATGAAACAAATCACAAATACTAAGAACGTATATCTGATCCGTTATACTCATATGTATACATATATTTAAAGAAACTATATAAGTTATATAAATATTATAATGTATATAAGTCTTAATAATTTTAATTGTTAAATTTATTATATTAGTTATTAAAAAATTTAAAAATAAATTTTTATTTTTGCCATAAAATATTCTTATTTTATATTATTTTGGATTTTTTATTTATTTTAAAATTTTTATTTTATTTATACGGATCGTAGTAGATATACAGTTTAGGTTTAAAATCTAAAATTTTGGATATCTACGACACCAAATATTCGAATAACTATATATCTAATTAAATCAGATAATTGATTATTTGGACGAAACGAATATTTGATCAGTTTCCACCCCGTACTATGTATGACATCTCGACCGATCTATATATGTTCCGGACCCATTACCGACCTTTGGTTTGTGCTCTTTTAACTCGTTTTCTCCTTTGAATTGGATCATGACTCATGAGTGAGTGATTACTATATTAATCACTCAAAGGGACCCGTTCCCTAAAATCAATAAATTATTTGATGTCACTTTTTGTCGAAGTACTATCCAAATGATCAATTTTCATCAACAGCTAGAAAACGTTCATTTTGTCTGTAGAACTGTATATCATTTGATTATATGAAGTTGTTTGCAAACGTGGGGATATGATTTCATCTTTGTCTATGCAACTTATCATGATAATGATCTCTCTCGCTGTAACTTTTTGGTGCAGTACTATGGCATGCCTCTATGTTACTTCAGTATATTGTTTAATCTACGATGGTTTAGAAAGAAGTAAATGAGCCACGTACAAACCTTACTGTGTTTTATTTTCTTGTTAGCATGCATGCTAGCTCGGTCCTAATATATTTATAAGAGTTATGGGAAATTTTTTACTTATGAAATAGAACATTTCCAATGTATTAATTTATTTATATCATTTACAATAGATTAGCTCTAAATGGAATTGAATTTACTCAAATTTTTTGACAAAAATGAAATAACCAAAATACTTACTCTATTTTGCCTACTCATTAACAGAAGTAAAATATGTTTAAATAACACTTGGTGAAAATTTCATTACAAGAATGCATAATGAACATCCAACAAGTAAAGTCATGTCATGAGGAAATAGACAGGGCGCCAAAAGATCGTTAAACAACATAACTCCATAAAAAACAACAAGGGTAATTCTTCGGAGTTCAGACCAACCATAGAGTTTATAGTAAACAAAATGAATGCAGAAAAGCATATGACCAAACTCTTCTTAATATGCAAGTCGTGAATAATTATCTCTTGGGGCTTGTTGTATACGAAAATAAAAGAATTGATTATACAAGACTTAATTATTACGAGTATAAAGAGGATCAGACATTCATCATTAGACTACTAGACATTATAAAGTAAATTATATCGAAATTCTCATAAGAAGGATCCCTAGAGACCAGACATGCATGTCCATAGACAGATCGTATAGTAATAATTCATAGGAGTTTTAATTATCCAACATTCAAGGTAGGCTTTATGACAAAGTAACTATTAGACTACACTGTTACACTTCCCATGATGATCTAGGATCTAATATTATTATCAATAAAGCCAATGAACACTGATATAAATGTATACTTTTTATTTTATTTCTGTAAGTTATTATAAAAGTACTATTATTAACCAGTGAAAGAATTTTGGAAACAAAAAGGAAGTAAAAGACTGGGCTCCTAAGAGAGACAATCCAGAAAGTTAAAGAGACATTAACAGGAAACGTATAGTTAAAGAAAAGAACACTGTCTGCTCCACAAAAACAACATACACAAAATTTATCAAGTCTCCTCCATTTTTAATTGTTTCCACAATTTTCCATGGTCAGTAAAATTAATGTGTCAAGAGACAATTGAGTTTTCTTATCAACAGAATGGTCTAAAACTGATCCCCATAGTGTATAGACCCAGCTTTCAAATATTGATGCAAGAAAGTGAAACTGAAAGTGATGTGATGCTCAGTTTCTGTTTAAGGCTAGACAATAGAGACTTTTGGTCCTTTATCTCTCCTAATTAAAGAATCTGAGCAGTTGAGAAATTAAAAGCAAAGCCTTAACATTTTATCTCCAACACCATCTGGACACACCTCCCGTGAATTTCTCATTTTTATAGAAACTTCGAATCGTACAGGTAAACAAATCTGAAAACCATAATCTATATTTGTACTATTACCAAGCTTTAAAGATCCAAACATATGAATTTAGTGACTAATCGGGTAATTATAACAGTAGTTATCAAAAAGCAATGTGTGTTCATATAGAGAAAATGTTGATAGTTCATTAGCTAAAATGGGGAACCCTTAGCATCTAATGGTTATTTATATTAAATTAAGTTTGAATAAAAAGTTGATCAACTAATTTATAATAAAATCTAAGCAATCGCATCACCTACTAGTTTCTTGTTGGTTACTAAGCAGATAGATATATAAAAAGAGAGAGAGAGACATGAAGAGCACTCTCAAGAGAGAATAGAAGGAACCATGCAATTACAGTTGTAGGTGTGAGGTTACAGCTTCAACGTCTCATCAATGGAGATTTGTAACTCTTATTCTCCTTGTTCCTCATCCTCTGTCGACAGTACTAACCCTTCACCATCTGAATCTTCTGTTAATCTCTCCCTTAGCCTCACCTTTCCCTCTACTTCTCCACAAAGGTCTTCTTCACCTCACATCTCTGTTTTTCCTATGTTCTGTTTTTCCTCTGTTTTTTAGTTCACATTGTTTGTTTTGTTTGTAGAGCGACAAAACAAGACTGGCCCCCTATAAAACCACGTTTAAGAGATACACTAAAGAGCCGTCGACGTCATCTTCAACGCGATTACGGCACACGTCTCTTTGTTAAGGTTTATATGGAAGGTGTTCCCATTGGGAGAAAGCTCGATCTTTCCACATTTTCTGGCTACGAGAGTCTATTAGAAAATCTGTCTTACATGTTCGAGACTTCAATTATCTGTAAGTACTTCTTGAAAAACAAAAACATTCAAACTAAGTTCGAACACTTAAGAATGTCCATGTTGTATACATTGTCTTTGGTTCTAACAGGCGGTAATCATCGAGATAGAAAACACCATGTTTTGACATATCAAGACACAGATGGAGATTGGATGATGGTCGGAGATATTCCATGGGAGTAAGAATTCGAATCTCCCATCTGACATATTGATAATATTTTATGTCTGGCTTGAGTCAATATTTTTGTTCAGGATGTTTTTTGAAACCGTGAGAAGACTGAAGATCACAAAACCGGAGAGGTGTTAAAACTTGGATCGTTTCGGTAGATTTAGACATTGATGAAGAGTTTTCATGCGGGACAGAGTTTTGGCTGCATATCAGCAACAAAGGCCTTAAAGAACTTGGATGATTGATGCATATATTTGTTTGACACCTTTGAGTGTCATTTTTATATAAATAAATGACAATGTCCAAGAGTTCTTTTTTTGTTGGTCTGAATAATAAAAATAATATCAAATACATTTTTACATGTTTGTAATCGTGTTCCTTTGGATGTGTACATGACCATGAAGAAAACACGAACTTTGTTGTGGAGCACTCTTTGAAATGTGCTTGCTCGTCGTTCTTATTCATTTCAATTTACACCGATTTGCAGTTTTAATGACTAAACCCGGTTCAAGTCCAATATAGGCCTGACTACAAAGCCCGTATAGAGCCCAAATATAGATTATTAAAAGAGGTAACAAGACAAACATAGCAGCACCATCCTGAATAGATTATTGTCTACTATTACATGTTCTCATTCAACCAAGCTTGGAAATGGGAACATTTTATAGTAGACAATAATCTATTCAGGATGGTGCTGCTATGTTTGTCTTGTTACCTCTTTTACTTGTAATAGAAATGATGAACCGAACATTTACGGTTACCACTTCATTCCGAGACAATTGGGTCAGATTTTGAGTGACTGAATTTGGGTTTTCATACAAAGTTCTCTTCAGCTAGTGATGAGTTGTATTTTTATTGGGTTTACTTCATTTTCAATTGAGATTGATTGATTTAACAATGTTTTAACAATGTGTTTAGGTCTTTGATGTCTTTCAGTAATTTTACAGGTTAGATATTCGTTTGTCGGGAAAATATGCCATTAGACAGGAGCTTAGAGGTTAAAAGAAGCATTAGATCAAATGAAGCTCGAATGTGGAAGCCGATCCATGTTAGTCACCCGTTCGACTAGTTTATCATGTTGAAACACAAGATTCTGATTTTACATGCCAAAAGTAAGCAAAAGTAATAACAATTACTTTTCACTACAAATGATGTCCTTAATCTTCACAGTAAAGAAAATAATTTGATGGTTATGAATCAGTGGGGGATCTGCTAACAAATGGGGAAGTTGATGTGCAGCATAAAGATAGGGAGTTTCATGTACATGCATATGTCTTAGGGTAAGGACTTAACTGAAGTTTATGATTTTCTTAGGAGAATTGTTCTTCAATGACTATATAATCTTTGGATTGTTAGTTTGTTACAACACATTAATAGTATAAAACCTTTTGTGTATAAATGTCTGAGGTTTGGTTTAGAAAACCTGGTTGGGTGAAGCACAAGTTGGTTGGAGTGATGAATCTTAGCTGAATTTACCTCAAAGAGACATGTTAGGTTTGTCGAGTTGAGTGAGACCATCTCTTGATTAAGATGTTTCCCAAATTCTCAGAATGTTAAGAATTTGAGAGAGAGAGAGAGAGAGAGAGAGAGAGAGAGAGAGAGAGAGAGAAATAGTATAACAATTAATTTAATGAAATCATAGAAAAAATTAGAAAAGTCACAGAGGACAAGGCACGTTGTGAGAATCAAGTACTCCCACTTGGGAGTTTAATAAGATCTCATCATCAACCATTGAACTCACTGTCGATATACGGTCGTACTTTTCTTCTATTATCTTTTTTTTTTCTTTTGCTTGTTCAATGATTGGGTCCTCTTCTAAGCTCAAGCTGCTGTCATCAATTATTTCTTTTTTATTCGAAAATAAAATTATTGCATGTTTCTTGGAAGTTTTGTAATATTGTCTAGAGATTATTGATCAGTTTTTGTTGTGTATTATTTATGAGTTGTACTCGTGCCCTTATAACAGTATCCGTGAGGTACATCTTGAATCGGGAAAGAATATTATGTAAATCAAATTGATGAACAGAGGAAACTTAAGTTTATCTTAAAACTTATATGCAGTTATTTACCATATTATAACCTACACGATGCTATTTTGATAAATACTTCAGATGCAAAAAAAAAAAAAAAGTATTTTAGTTTTACTAGTTGATTTTTTTTTTTGTGTTTTCTTTTCTCTGCAAGGTTTGTCTACAATAAATCTAACTGAAATTGAAGAAACCAAAATTAATTTTATTCAAATTATATGCTTCTCAGTGATCATCAATTTCTTTTTAAAAAAAAAAATTCTGAACGAAACTCAAACTGATTTAAACAAAGAAGATAGGTCGCCCAGCGCTAGTTATAATTTATTTTCTCTTCGGGGTTATAAAAGAGACTGAATTGTTTTTTGTTTGTTGACTAAGCAGGGTAATGGGCGTATATCATTCAACTCTTCGTGTTTGTCCTAGTTAGAAACGTCAACTCAGTTGATCGGGTATGCGTATCACTGTATTGTGAGGCATTTAACTGAAAATGCAAAAGGTATTATTAACATCAAAGAGACTGATAGAATAATATCATTATTCATAACCAATCAAAACAGTATTTTTTCCTTCTGATTAATAATTTAACTCATGTGCAACTGGGGTCAACACATGGCTTTTACATTATGGAGAACTAGTTCTTGGGTTCCTAAACAGATAACATAATGCTAATCATCTCATAAAAATGATATAGAACTCAAGAAAACCTTTTCTCTTTAAAAAAAAATCCCAACGTAACAGAATCATGTGGGTCATCAAAAGAGGAAAGAACAACATCTAAATTCTCGACGATAATTCGTCGAAAAAAGGTTTACTAGACCTTAAAAAAGCCACGACCACGGAACAAGAAGGAGGTGATCCCTAAGGCGTAGGCCTATACCGCTTTTAATATATATATGTACAAAAAGCAGATAAGGAAACCATTTTTTTAGGTGTTTGGATTGGGTTTAAGAAGTGAGGTTATTGGAGGAGTTAGATTTGTCGAGAATAGACCACATGACGAGAACATCGTCGTATCCACAAGCCATGACTTCTCCTTGAAGCTCTTTTACCATCCTCCTCTCGAGCTCTTCCCTCGCTTTCGCATCCATTTTTCCACCGACGCATCCCTTTCGAGGCGATTGCTGCGGTTGGTTGAAGAGTGTTGCTGCCTTTTTGAATGGTGTTGCTATTGTTTTCTTCCATGATGCCATTATTTTTCTTTTCTTTTTTGTTTGTTTGTTATGTTTACTCAGTTCTTGATACAAAGGAATCTTTCTCAGAAATTCGGATTGGTAGAGCTCGAGAACGACTTGCTAGGTGTATTTATACACATCCTCTTTCTCTCTTTTCTAAGATATACTAGAATAATAATAACTAATTAGTAATAAACTAAAGAGTGATTAGTAATGCTAAAGCAAAGAGGGACAGAGAGAGGCAAGATCCGCAATAAGAGCTTCCAAGAAACATCACTTTTTTTTTTAACTTTTTTTCTTTTTGTTATCCATTTAACCTCGTTTAGGCCTCTCCCAACCCTCCCACATGCCACTCCACGTGATATTTTCCTCTCTTGTTTTTTTTTTTTGGTTTTACCACACATTATATTGCCTCTCGTTTTTACATTTGACTAGGTGGCAACTCGCGTTGTGCCGGAAATGAAATAGATTATTAGATTATCTATTGTATGCACTAAGAAATTTGTTGTATACTTTGTTCCAGGGATGAACATTCATATATTTTTTCAAATTTAGTTAAGATCTATTAGGATTTCAAGTTTTTAGAGTTAAAAAGTTAGATCTTATTCAGATATTTACAAATTTTGGTTTGGGTTTGGATTTGGTTTGAATCATTGCGGATTCGATTCAAGTTCGGATACCCATAAGTATGTATTTTTAACAAAAATCCAAAAATAAAATAAGAAAACATAAATTTGAATAATGTTAAACTAAATATTTAAATTTACATAAAACATTTAATTTAGATATTTGGATGGTGAACAAATAAATATTTAAGTATTTTAAACATTTTCTGTTATTTTTAGATATTTACTTGGGACTATATTGATAATTTTAGATATTTTCATATTTTAGAATATCTAATATATATAAAATTTTAAATAATTAATATAATTAAGTATGTACTTGTGATTTAGATATTTTTGGTATCTAAAATATTTTAGTTTGGGTCAGATTCGGATTTGGTTATTGAATATCACATTTTTAGATCTATCTGAGTACTTAATCAGTTTTAATTTGTGTTTATTATTACTTTCAAATCTAGTTCGGTTTGGTTCGTCGGATCCAGATATTGTACCCAAACTAATTTTCTTCTATTAATATAAAGAAAAATAAAATAAATAGAAAATAAATATTATGAACTTATTTAACATTAATAATTTATTGGACCACACTTTAAGAATACCAATAAAAATGGTTGGGCGTCGTCGTGTCAATAATATTGGGCATGTTGTAAAATTGACGTAATCTATAACCGATAACATGTATTTTATAATAAAACATTCTTGGTAAATAGAATAAAAACACGATACAATCGAATGAAAATAATTTATAGTCGTGTGGAAAATAATGTGATCTCTTCACTCGGTACCTGAATTAATTTTTGTAATCAGTTTCACGAATTCTCTTTTCTTTTATAAGTTTCCTGGTTTGTGATTTTTTTTTCTACCAATCTGATTATGTTGCTAATTTTTGGTATGATATGAAAACTTCGTACAGAAAAGCAATATTTGGCTAAACTAAAGATCTGTCTATGTATGTAGTTTTTTTTTTACTTTAATTTCCTTAATTTATAATCAATCACAATTATTTATTGTCTTCGTGTACCGAAGCCTCAACCATGACCAAGTTCGACAAGATAAAAAAATTTCAATTTCTAAAAATATTTTCATTCTTGCATTTTAGTTGATGCGAATCTTAATGATTTTGTAATTTCTTTCTTTCCAAATGATATTATTTAGTAGTGGTACGGAGAACATTTCAGTTCAATAATACAAATGTTAAAATGCATGAATTAAATGAGCTGATTAAAAAAAATTATGTGTGAACGCATTGATTGTTAAATGAATGTGAACCTGACACGTATATTCAACTAAGCTTGAAATAATTTGGAGAGCAAGTTCTTTATTTCCTATCAAGTTATGGATTAGGAAAGCTTACAATATATATGAGTCATCTAAATATTCTATGTCATGTGTGTTTAGGAAATATGAATCACTATATAAGGTATATGCAAAGGTGTTGCATAACCTAAAAGTTTTAGTGATTGTGTTTGAGAGCTTAAGTTTTGAGTTATTTTCTTAAGCAATAATGAAGAGAGTTATTCTTTATACTTATACGATCATTAGAACTTTATTTGGTATCAGAGCATAACCTAAAATCATGAGAGAGAGATGTTAAGAATATGGGTAATACGAAGGATGAGGAAGTCGACAAAAAACCTAAGGAGACCGGACCTTCTTCCATCAAGTGTCCTATGCTAACTTCTGCGAATTATACAGTGTGGTCGATGCGTATGAAGATTGCGTTGAAAGTTCAACAAAGTATGGGAAACCATAGAGCAGGGGAGTAAAAATGAAGATAAAAATAATATGGCAATGGCCTTGCTATTTCAGTCTATACCAGAAGCATTGATTATGCAAGTAGGAGATCTAGATAGTTCAAAAGCTGTATGAGAAGAAATTAAGGCAAGACATGTGGGTGCTGATCGAGTAAGAGAAGCTAGATTGCAAACCCTCATGGCGGAGTTTGACAGGATCAAGATGAAAGAGACTGGTACGATCGATATATTTGTTGGTAAAATTTCAAAAATTCTATCCAAATCAGCAGCTCTTAGAGAGAATATTGACCGAAGCTAGTAAAGAAATATTTGTAGAATTTTCCGCGCAAGAGATACATTCACATCATAACAGCCATTGAACAGGTTCTTGATCTCAACACTACTACTTTCGAAGATATAGTGGGGAGACTGAAGGCATATGAGGAGAGACTTGGTGAAGAAGAAGAAAAACATGATGACCACAATAAACTCATGTACGCCAATACAGACTCAAGACAACATGCTCATGAAAAATACAAAGGAAACAGAGGCAGAGGACAAGGAGGTCATTCATACTGGAGAGGAGGAAGAGGTCGCGGACGGTACGGTTATTACCAACAGTATCGTAGTGAAAGAGATGATTCGAAGGTGATGTGTTATAGGTGTGATAAACTAGGGCACTATGCCTTCGACTGTCCTGATAGATTATTGAAGCTTCAAGAAGCTATTGAGAAGAAACAAGATGATACGCAGGAGGCGGATAATTTAATGATGCATGAAGTGGTGTATTTGAACGAGAAGAAGATAAGACGGGGCATATTTGAAGCAGGCTTCGATGCAAAGAATCTTTGGTATCTTGACAATGTGCTAGAAATCATATGAGTGGTGATCGATCCTTCTTCTTTAATCTAGACGAAAAGGTTAGTGGGAAAGTGAGATTTGGTGATGATTCACGTATCAATATAGCTGGAAAGAGATCGATACATTTTGTGTTCATGAATGGTGAGAAGAAGGTGTTGCACAATGTCTATTTCATCCCAGTTTTAAAGAGTAATACCATAAGTCTCGGGCAGGCCATAGAGGCAGGATGTGAAGTTCGTATGAAAGATGAGCTAAAAAGTCTATATGATCGTACGGTAAAACTGGTGAAGATAAACAACAGGTCACAAAACAGACTTTATAAGGTGATCATCGATGTTGAACCCGTTAAGTGTCTGCAACTTGTGTCCGAAAGTGAATCAACTAGGTGGCATGCACGCTTAGGACACATTAGTGAGAACACCTTGAAGACAATGATCAACAAATAACTCGTAACAGGGATACCAAAGGTAACGATAGAGAAAGAGACTTGTGTATCGTGTTTACTTGGCAATAAAACAAGGAGACTGTTTCCGTCTGTAACAATTTATCGAGCATCAAAGTTGTTAGAGCTTGTGCACAGTGGCTTGTGCGGACCCATTACGCCTCCAACATCAGTGCACAAGAGGTATATCATTGTGATCATCAGTGACTACAGCCGTTACATGTGGACAATCATGTTAAGAGAAAAGAGTGAAGTCTTCGACAAGCTTAAGAAGTTTTAGGCAATAGTTGAACAAGAGACAACAACCGCCATCAAAACATCCAGAACGGATCAAAGTGGAGAGTTTACATCTCATGAGTTTTATGTGTTTTGCGAGAAACAAGGCATAAAGAGACATATAACCGCACCTTATTCTCGCAGCAGAACGGTGTGGTAGAGAGACGGAATAGAACATTGTTTGAGATGACTTGCAGTATTTTGAAGCATATGAGAATACCAAATTATCTTTGGGAAGAGGCAGTGAGACACTCCACTTATCTCATAAATAGAGTTGCAACTAGATCACTGAGTTTGTTTGTTCCATATGAAGTTCTTAAGGGAAGAAAGCCAAATCTAGATCATGTTCGTGTGTCTGGATGTCTTAGCTATGCGAGAATAGAGGCGGTTGGTAGAAAGAAGCTAGATGATAGGTCGAGATCATTGGTGCACCTAAACAGAGCCCGGGTTAAAGGCACATAGATTGTTTGATCCAACCACTCGTAAGATAATTATCAGTAGAGGCGTTGTTTTTGATGAAATTAGAGGTTGGAACTGGAATGATAAAGGAGAAGAAAACAAAGATCCTGGGAGTTTATCTTGAACTTTGGAGAGTTTGGTAATAATGGCATACGGGAGGATGTGAATGCCAACGAAACAGATGCTATCACTTGAGTCATGGATGATAACGAGCTTGATGGAGAGATACAAGAAGAAAACGATGATGGAACAGAGGTTATAGATGAGAATGCTACGAGTGAAAACAAAGAAGATGAGGAACATGGCCATGACGAAGAAAATAAGCTGCGAAGATCAAGCAGGAACTGAAGAAGACCAAAGTACCTAAGTGATTACGTTTGTCTCGCAAAGTAGATGCTGAGTCTTCTTCTCATGACGAATGAGGGGCCTTGGGACTTCAGTGAAGCCAAGGATTCTGGGACTTCAGTGAAGCCAAGGATTCTCGAGAATGGGTGCTAGCATGCGAAGGCGAGATCGAATCTATTATGAAGAACAAGTGTTGGGATCTAGTTGAGCTACCTTCTGGAGCCAAACCAATAGGTTTAAAGTGAAATGAAATCATGATGGTAGTATCAACAAGTACAAGTCAAGGTTGGTCGCGAAAGTGTATGTACAAAGGCATGGAGTCGACTTCGATGAAGTATTTG